TACAAATTCGAATATTTAGTTTCGAAAGTATAGTTTCAAAATCAAATAGTATTAAACCTATTCCTTGAAATCCTGATTTCATATTCTGAATCGTAATTGATTCTTGGTATATAGCTTTGAAAACTATAAAGAATTCAACTTTCGAAATATAATTAATATATGCCTTGATAAACCCATCAATTTGAATACCATATAAACATTTCAAACTGCTAAAACAACCAATATCAAATGATTGAATTAAATGATTTGAATGTAATGGTAATTTTAAACAAATAATATCATTCTCTTTACAATACAATTGAAAAGATACTGATTCATAGCTTTCATACCCATCTAATACCAATATTCGATATTTGCCCTTTCTTCGATTCTTAGTATACTTATCGAAGTATTTCAATTATTCTAAACCTGTCTTATTGTTTGTCCATCCATTAGATATAGATTTAATAACCCATTCCATAGGAAAGTCGATTTCGATATACCAATTGGAAAGATAAACCTATCCTTGAACCATTAGAAATAAAGATATAATTTCACCCTCCTCATTTCCACATATTATTACTATAGCCCATTCTCGATTGCCTAATTATACTGATTTACTTCTACTATATCTCTCAACACTAATAACAACTATTGCAACATATATAATCCCCATCATAAAGCCTATTTCATCGAAATTATAGAAATCGCTATCGAGAATACCATATTTCGTTCGTATATTCGAAATCAATCGAAACCACTCTTCAATAAGCTTAGGATCTTCACAGAAAGTTTTTTGAAAGTTATAAATACAACTAAAACACATCTTTAATTCGATTCGACGCTTTACGAATCGATGCACCTAAAGCTTCCCAATATACTTTGCACCCCTCGATTCAAAAATATGATTCGCTATATCTTCCACATTTCTAAATTTAGATAGAAATCCTCTCATATTCATATCGAATATATACTCAGAAATGATATTCTCTTCTAATTCTGAAAAATTATAAGATTTAGATCGATATTCGAAACAAAGAGTAAAACCATTAATTCTACACTGTAATATTGTATTCGAGATATTATACATCTTCGCAACTTTTCGAATACTTATTTTTTTATCTTTTTGAATAACTTCGATAGCGAGGAGTATATAGGCTTCTTGGTTATTCGAATTCATTATAGATTGTTGATAAAACGTATGTTGAAAAAGAAGAGATTGAATTGAAATGAAAATGACCCACACACTGATATGACCCGCACACTGATAAACCACGTTAGGGTTGTTAATCGTTATTATGATGTCAAAACTGTCATAAATGTAACCCAACCCCAGATTTGATTGGATGATGTACAGGTAAATTAATAATAAGGTGCGTTGTCACTAACTACCTAGCATGATCAGCAGAACAACATCATTTTTAATTATCTTCATCTTCAACTTTACAACTTGTTTCACAAATTTCGCTGTACTGAGGGGAGTCTACATACTGGTACGCGCTTCTTTGGTTCACCTGAAAGAATCTCCTCAATAATTGCATCGCAGCCAGATCAAAGGAATCTTGCCTCGAGTCTCGTCCAACACATATATACGCCTTTCTCATCAACCTCATTCCGGGTTGTGCTTACAGCGTTGTAAGTATATCAAGTAGCATTCATATCACCATCACTGATTGTTATAGCAATCGAAAAAAATTCTTCGACGCCAGCGTATTGGATTTGAGAATCCGTGACAGTTCAAAATCCAGTTTATCACCATGCCTGAAGTGAGGTCGCATCTGACCACATCCATATTCTCCACGATCCTAATGCAAAAGAATATAGGCTGATCAAACTATTGATGCCGAGTACGAAGAGATCGGATGGTATACTTTCGAGGAGATTGATGTGGATAGGCAGATGTCATGGGAAGGTCCATGTAGCTTTGATTTATCTGGTCCTAGTCGTATCGCTATTGGAACGAACGGAGTAGTTTCTGTCAATTACAACACAGATAAGCCACAGCAGGGTATTCATCTCCCTAAAGGGTGGGTTGCAGTTGTCTGTAATGCGAAATTCAAATTGGTATTGAGAACCTAGTTAAGATAATATTCAAGAAGGAAAGGTATTTATCCAGATCATTCGGCCTTCACTGAAAATCAACATTATTTCTACCCTAAAATCACCATCATCATCGTTGTTACCAAAAGATACATTGACAGCACGAGTATCTGTAAACCTTCCCATTTGAATTTCTTTTTTCCTCTGATCGCTAGCTTTCATAGCCTCGAACAGGTAGTCACCAAGGATATCCCTTAAGTTCTTTACAGGTCCCATCTTTGCTTTAGAAATAGCCTTCCCAGCCGACGAACATACCCAGATGTAGAATTGGAAATCCTGTGACACAAACAACGGAACACGTAAACGTACAGTGTCGGTCAATGGTATTGATTGGTTATCTTGACGTCTCGTATGGCTCCTCATCGCAGCATCGAAGAGATAGGGTCCAATAATACTCTTCAACTTATTCACATCGGCCATTGGCACTTCTCTCCCAACTCCCGGAGCCCTTAGGTAACACTCGTCAACCTTCCCCCCATATCGATCAGACACGACCCCACTCGAAGACTGAGAAGCGGACTGATCAAGACAGGGGGGAGGGTCAGCGCGCCTTGGTTTACTTAACGGTTCGCCCGGCTGCAATTGTATTGCCTCCTCTGGATTGAATAGTGGATTTAATAGTGCATATATTGAATTGGGATTGATCTCAGATGTACTCGATTCGGCTTGCGTGCTAAGAGTATAACCATTAGCAATGGGTGCATTCGGGGTAGGCGCGATGGAGGTATTCGGAGAAGGCACAAAGGTCGGAGTCATTGTATTATCCCATCGAAATGGATCGATTACAGAGTTCATGATTTGGCTAGCCAGCTGATCAGCTCCAAATTGCTTGGAAATTTCCATGATGCCTCGGTGTTTCAAATGTGCTATTGCTTGATGCAATTTTGAACCATTTAATGCATGTATATTCTCCCACCTAAATAAAGAATTAGTATACTATCCTTAAAAGATTTTCAAATCAACTTACATCCGGTCTGGTATCTCCGGAATCAAAAATAATGCACTTTTTCCAAGATGTGAACATATTTTGTGATATCTAAGTCCAGCAGTTACCCAAGCTTGTAGATTTGACTTGATAACGGCAGCTTCATCAGTAATTTTCCGAGATCGTTTGAATACCTCAAAAAGTCGTTGATATAAAGCATCGGTCATAATCATTTGTCCATCTCCTATCAATATTGCCAAATTGTAAAAAAGCTAACATAAAATCTCAGAATAATATCCCACACTTGTTGTGAACCAATAATACACCGCATCACCAAGTATGCTTTGGTAGTAATAGTCTCACTTGATGGTTTGGTATTCGGAGGTACTTCAATCAGGGTACTGTAGAACTTACAAAATTGTGATGGATTTTCCCTCCAGATTTGGAAATGATTCTGCATATTAGATGGTATAGTAATGTTGTGAATCCCAAGACTTGGTTCATATGCCGCTACTGCACTCTTTGATTTCTGTCTTTCGTTGCTTTTGCTTTTGCTATTGCTAAATGCCTTTTGAGCTATACCTTTCGATTTTTTAGAGAATGATGTATAGACATTTTGGAAAAAAGTGATCAACTACAAAACAGTTATATCCTGCTTTCAAGGGGGGACTTACTCTGCACGAGTACTAGGAACTTTACCTCTTTCTGTTCCAATAAAGACTCAAGAGTTTGTGCTTCATTATAGGTTTTCAACATTTTAATCAATTCGCCCACGGTATACATGATTGCGGTACACTCTTAGAAAGAATCTCAGCAACTAGAATTGAAGCTGGGTGAAATATTGGACCACTCCTTCGTAACCGGTGTTCAAGGAGGTTGATGTGAGGACACGATCTTATTGAATGCTATAATGTAACTGAACGAGTTTGAGTCCGGCCCCTCGTAATGTAATTGAATACCCTCCAGCTATACGGAGGTAATAAAAACCTTGTGGGTGGCGGCTAATAAAATGATGAATGATTCTTTTGTCATGAATTTTTGAAGTTCTGCGCGTGATTGACATTTGATGGTGGAAATGGTGGGGCCAGGGGATGTGGGGTTTGGGTTTATTAGTAATCTTACATTTTACTAGGTACTTAGTGAAGCACAGACGTCTTTTGGTCCAAAGGACGGGAGGGATGCTTTTGTAGTATTGGGTGTTGGTTTTTTTTGGATACTATACTGAGCAACTGAATTGAATTCGGAATCCATTGAGGTAGGTTTCAAATTCACTTCTTATGAAGGAGGAGGCGGCATTTCTCGTATCTTTCTAGAGTGAGCTATGTATGGTAGTTTATCCAGAGCTTTTTAGACGGAGTCGTCCTCTTATAGTTAGATATAAGGGTCACGGTCTTGTACTTAAATTCTTCAAATTCTTCAAATTCTTCAAATAGTTTGAATGTTTTAAATGATTCCGATTGCAATCTATTACTTGTATTGTTGGACTGCAAAGCCCACTATCACTTGCTCTCCTTTCGCGTTCATGAACTGATACAGCGACTCCAATCGACGGCTTCCTATCAACATTTTCCCGTATGAAGAATCCAATAAGCTCGTAGCCACTCGAGTATTTATGGCCTCAGCCCCAGTAAATCCGACACTGTAATATATATTGCAATACGATCCCCAATGCAGTCAATCAGACATGTCCAGTATCGGCGAGTATCTTAAAGTCTCTGGTTAATCTCTGTACGTCTATATCATCGTCTGAAAGGGCCGGGTGAGATCGCAATCCATGATTTGCAATGAATTAGAAGAATTTAAAGTCCACACGATTGCAAGTGTCTGGATAGACTCACGAGGAATGTTTAGCCAGTCCCAGCTGAGCACGTTTTCCCATACCCTACTCCTAGAGAGCTGACGTCTCACGAGTTTTACTTCATGTAATGCAATGTGATGCAATGTGATGCGAGCAATATATATCAGACTTAAGGGCCTAGTTATAACAATACAAACATCCCTCGTGGCGCAATTGGCTAGCGCGTTCGACTGTTATTCTAGGTTCACACGAACCGCAAAGATGTAATCGAGAGGTTCGTGGTTCGACCCCACGCGAGGGAGTTTCGTTTTGATTTTTGAGTATTCTTATTTTGAGGTTTATGATTAAAGGGATGGATGGATGGTCCGATACTTTTTAATAAATAACATAAATGAAATATTAATCAATGAAACTTTATCATTTATTTATGTTGTGTTGCACGGACCATACAATCAAAAAGATCAGTTCCATTACTAATATTCCAGTGGCATGGATCACAAAATCAGAGGGTCAATTCCAACACTAGTATTCCAACGTCGCTCTAGTACCAAGGTCGGTGGTTTAAGCCCACCTGATATGTGCATTTCTCTTGCTCCCTCCATGTACTTTGCAAAGGAATGTGGATGTAGTGGAGAGATAGGACTAAGCGATTGTGGGTAGGGTTGAACGCCTTGTGGAGTACGTTTGGTCAAAGTGGATCTAGTTGGGTAAGTAACAAACAGAAAGGCTCCGAAGTGGGTGCCATATCAAGCTTTTTTCAATATGCGTGAAAATTTCCATCAGACTGAGTATCGAATTTCCGAGCAAAAAACTAGAACTTTTGAATCTCGAACCAGAACCGACCAAGCAGCCGTTTCTTCAAAAGTTGTTGCTCAAAATTTCCAAAAAGAATCAAAAGATATGTTGATGAGAGTGGGATTCGAACCCACGCCTATTACTAGACCAGGAGATTGTAAACAACCTTCTGTTAAGAGTTTAATACCTTAACCTGGCGCCTTAGACCAACTCGGCCATCTCACCCATTTGTTGTCTGCGGTGCCTCAGGTCTGATATATGAAGATATTTTCAAGAGAGGCAAACTGATAAAGGAGGGACTCTCCTCTTCACGTGATCGTTAAAAAGTTCCCATTGCACAACATATTTTGATCTTGGATTTGATAAATTTTTGTGTTTTTGATTCGTCGAAACAAGAAATAGCTTCACTTCAGAGGGGTATTGTCCTACTATGAACTTTGGTAGTAATTCCTTGATTCATTTGTTCCTAAAGGAGGACCTTGTCCCCTTGAACTTTCTTTCCTTGAGAGTGATACAACCCCTCCCATTCAAAAATCTGTACCCCCACCTTAACGCCTCGCTATCCCTTCCTAGGCTTTTGAAACATTATGATTCTCACTTATATTACCCTGTGGTAGTTTTTCCATATGCTCCGCCTGCAGCCTTCCTCATCTCAAGAGCTCTCTTGTATGGAGGTGCTGTTGGAGGTTGTACTGGATCAAGTGTAATTCGATCCTTTGGTAAATGATATGAAGCATCAGCGTCATAACCAGATAAATCTCCACATGCCAAAAAAGGAGCTATCCATCTTCCCGATTTTCGGGACTTGGCTTCATCAGTAGGAAGTTTAGCTTCCCATATTCCATCTTCTCTTAGTATCGTTGTCTTGATTTGAGTTTCCGACCAAGTCCCGTCTTCAGGATTTTGTGAGTGGGTAGGTGAAACTATTGGCTCTTGACTAACAGCAGTATCCACCATTTTGGATAATCTATCCCCAACGCCCATTGGATCTTCCATACTAGCTTTGAATCCTTCCGGAGGTTGGAAATTTAGACAGACAATGAAAGCTTCCACACTACTTGCACGACTTGATCTTGGTTTTGCAACAACCACACGTTCAAAGAATATCTTCAACTGTGCGAAAAGAAGATCGACATTTCTCCCTCGAAAAATCTTCGCGACAAATTTTCCACCTGGACGAAGGACACAAAGGGCAAGATTTAAAGCCGCGAAAAGTAATTGTGATTGAACATAAATGTCTAGATCATGAAGACCTGTAACATCAGGAGCACCATCACTAATAACGAGATCAACAGGGTTGGAGGCTTGTTGAGAGAGGGATTTCGGATCATAAGACGGATCGAGAGCACTTAGGAGTAATGGAACTGTAGCCGGATGTGTAATATCTGCTCGAAGTGTTATGATTCCTTGTAAAGGACTCATGGGTTGTAAATCGATAGCCACAATTTTGACATCCTTTTTTGGTTTCAATTCGGACACATCTGGCGTCTGCTTCTCCTCTGATATAGGCTGGGTTGCAATTCCAAGTATGTTTTGTCGCATTCTTGCCTCCTTATCTTCCCATGCTGCTCGACCAAACTTCTCTCCTTTGATCAAGACTCGGGACAAAACTTGAGACCAACTTCCTGGGGCAGCACAAAGGTCGACAACTCGAGTGACATCAGAGAAGAGATCAAATTCTAATATCGAGTTAGTCACGGTACGTACTTTGCGCAATACAAGACTGCAGCGGTTCTTTAGTGGGGTTCAATGCCTTCATCAAGTTGTAATAATTTGAAAGCACTTCGAGCTCTCCATCCTTGTTCTTTTGCGAGTCTGTAGTAAGCATCCCGCTTATCCTTTGAGGATTTTCCCATCTTGAGAATAGGATGAGTACTATGAACGAACAAACTTGTGGAGAATAATTGAAGTCATCGATGAATGATTCAATCGATTTTTTGCGACAAGGCTGAAGAACTAAACTAGCGCGGGGCTGAGAGGCTAGATCGACAGGGTTATTGACAGGGATCTCCAGAAAAAAAGTTATGATAATGCTTTTCTGAGGAGAAGTGAGTTAATTCGAGACAACAAGAAAATAAAAGAATATCGACCTCGACTATCTTTAATTAGAAATGGATACCAAGCAGAAGAAACGTTCTCATTCAGAGACCAATGGCTCTCAGAAAGCTCCAAAACGTCAAAAGATTCAAAAGACATCCAAGAAGCAAAAGAAAACTGCGCCTAAGAAACCAGTTGCCGTGGATTCTTTACCGTGGAACGAAGTAACTATGCCAGATATGTTCGAAGATGCTGAGGGTTTCTATGGATTGGAGGAAGTAGACGATGTTGAGGTTGTAAGGGATGGCGACGTCGTCACATTTGTATGTATTCTATGGGAGAAAGTATAGGAAGGATGCTCATTTTTTTAAGGTATCTTCCAAGGTCCAGGCTAAAGACGACGATGATGAAGAATTTGAAGGCTTTGGAGAAGAAGCTGAAGTTGATGGAAACGCTGCGACGGATAATACTAGCGAAGTGAAGCCAATTTTGAAGCCTACGGAAGAAAGCACGAAAAACGACAAACCGCAAGGAAATAAACAAAAGATAGAGAAAAAAGCAAAGCCCGAGAAGAAAGACAAGAAGGAAGGGTCAAATACGAAAGACGAGGAAGAGAAATTACCAAATAAGAAGGAGAAGAAGCAAAAACAAGAGAAGTCGCAAAAACAGCCAGTCGACAAAGATGCTACCCTCAAACAAGATCCTCTTAAGAATGTCTTCGAGGCACTTGAAGAAGATGCCGCAGGAGAAGTTGATGTTTCAAATTGGGTGGAGCTAGACCTTTCATCGAATACTTTAATGGCATTATCAAAAATGGGCTTCTCAAAGCCAACTCCAATTCAATCAGAGGCTATTCCAGAAGTACTCGCGGGACATGATGTTGTTGGAAAGGCATCTACAGGTTCTGGAAAAACATTGGCATTTGGAATACCGATAGTGGAAAAGTGGCTTGAGGTATATGGAGAACTCGATGAAGATGAACTCAAGAAGAACACAAGACCTCCAACCGCTTTAATTCTTTCGCCTACGAGAGAATTGGCGCATCAATTGACTGAACATATTACAGCTTTATGTAAGGGTATGCCTACAAGTCCATATGTAGCTGCTGTTACTGGAGGACTTTCTGTCCAAAAACAACAACGTCAATTATCCAAGGCAGACATCATAATCGGTACACCCGGTCGACTCTGGGAAGTTATCAGCTCCAGCAATGAATTGTCAGCTGGTTTGAAACAGGTTAGGTTTTTGGTCATCGATGAAGCGGATAGACTTTTGACCGATGGCCACTTCAAAGAAGCAGAGGAGATTTTAAATGCGTTGGATCGTACACACGGGGATGAAGATGATGACGAGAAAGACACATTACCACCCAGACAGACTTTGGTTTTCTCGGCCACTTTCCACAAAGGATTGCAACAGAAGCTTGCAGGCAAGGGCAAGCATTCTTTCAAGGATGAGAGCCAATCTATGGAGTACCTCTTGAAAAAGCTCAATTTCAGGGAAGAAAAACCCAAATTTGTTGATGTCAACCCAATCTCGCAAATGGCAGCAAATTTGAAAGAGGGTATGGTAGAATGTGGTGGAGAAGAAAAGGTAATGGTCCTGGAACTACAATTGGGGTATATTTTTGGCTAACACTCTATAGGATCTCTACCTATATTCTCTCCTTCTACACCATCCAAATCAACGAACACTCATCTTTACAAACTCAATCCATTCCGTCCGTCGCCTAACCCCCATGCTCCAAACTCTCAATATCCCAGCCCACTCCCTTCACTCCCAAATGATCCAAAAAGCACGCATGCGCTCTATTGAAAAATTCTCTCGAACAAACAACACTGGTTCAGTCCTCGTAGCTACCGACGTTGCAGCCCGCGGTCTCGACATCGGAGGAGTTCAATTAGTAATCCATTACCATCTTCCACGTACCGCAGACATGTATGTGCACCGGTCTGGTCGAACAGCCCGTGCTGCCGCATCCGGATCCAGTATCCTTCTCTGTGGTCCCGAAGAAGTAGTTGGAACCCGTCGCTTGGTAGCTAAAGTCCACGCGCAAAATGCTCTTCATGGAGAAGGCAAAAATTCCAAATTCTACATCCGCTCTCTCGATATCGACCGCAGAGTAGTTTCTCGTCTAAAACCCCGCGTTACCCTCGCGAAAAAAATAGCAGATAGCGCTCTCGCAAAAGAGAAAAAAGGTCACGATGACGATTGGGTTAAAAACGCAGCGGAAGAATTAGGCGTCGAATATGATAGTGAGGAATTTGAAGCATTGGGTGGAGGTAGAAAAGGCAGAGGAACAGGAAGAAGAATGAAGGAGAAAGAAGCGAGGGGTATGAGTAAAGGAGAAGTTGGGGCATTAAGAGCGGAATTGAAGGCTTTGTTGGCTCAAAGGGTTAATGTGGGGGTTAGTGAGAGGTATTTGACGAGTGGGACGGTTAATGTTAATGATTTGTTGAAGGGGGCGAAA